CTGAACACCACTGAAGCACTTTAACCTTCCTCTGACAAACCCCTGGCCTGCAGCTCTGACCAGAGAACCCCAAACTGCTCCAAACCCTTTAAGACCTGCTGCCCCTGAACTCTGTTACGAGGCACAAGTTCATGCTAGGCAGCTCCAGACCTGGGAGACAAAGCTTACGTGGGGGTTAATGGCTGAAAGGTGCTTGCTGCTTTCAGGGTCAGCAGCATTTTGGCTGCAGAAGGATTGGAGGGGTTTGGGAGGTGGGGTTTGGGCCAGAGCTGGCTGTGTGGCTGTCTGCACGTGTTAATCAGCTGAAGAGAAAGGGCTGAGGCAGCTCCTGCTGCTTCAAAGGGCCATTCAGGGTAACACTTAAAACACAGCTTGCAAGAAAAATAAATGGAGAAGGGTTTAGTTTTGTTCTGTGGCTGCCTCCAGGCTCGGGTGTGGAGCAGAGAAGGTGCTGCTGGGGCCACCCAGGCCAGAGGGATGCTGCTCTCCTGCCCCTGGATCTGCCCTCCAGCAGGGTCCTGCTGATCCCACCAGCTCCCTGGGGCATGGCCCTCCAGGCACTTTGGTGCTTGCCAGAGGGGGTTTGCATGGAGATGGGCATGGGGAGGAGAAGTCCACTCAAGGAGGGGCGAAACGGTGTTTTCAGTGTTTCAACCTGAAACACCCCCCTGGAGACCTGACCCTTGCCAACCAGGCAGGGTTGGCCTGTGCTTGGTGTGTAGCAAGGCAGGACTGTGGAGCTGGGAGGCTTTGCCTGCCTCTGCCTTCGTGTTTGCTTTGGAAGAACTGCCAGTCTCGGGCTCTGTCGATGCCAGGAGGGCAATGGTTGTGTGGGGATGTGTCCCAGGCTGGTGTGGGGCAACGTGGCAGCAGAGGTGGCTGTTCCCACAGTGCAGGGACAGCACATGGCCACCCAGGCTTGGGCGTGCAGAGCTTTGTGTGCAGGCAGATGTCATGCAGGCAGGGCAGGGCTGCCCGTGGGGACCATCAGGGAGCAGATTGTTCTATACAGAGGGAAAAGGGAAGGGAGGAAGCTGAAATTTTCATGCAGAAAGAGAAGAGTGGGAAAATATTTCTGTTAAATTTGTCGTGTTTGTGTGTAACTAAGCACTAGCTAAAACCTGGGATTGAAGCTTCAAGGATCAGAGGCTGGGCAGATGGGATGAGAAGCCAGGGAAGGAGAATTTTAAAAGCACAGCAAATCCTGCTTTAAACTGTGCTGCAGCTGGGTTTGATGCTGTGGAAGGAGGAGCCCAGTGTGACGATGAAGAGCAAACCCTGAGGTCTATAGAACAGAGGGAAAGATCTGAGAGCAGAGTTTCTGCCAGGCTGGCCCCCAGAGAGACTAAATGTCTCAGCCCAGTGCTCATCAACTGGAGCAGCTTCAGACTGGAAATGCAAGGGATGGAGCACCCACCTCTGCTGCGAGCTGATCTCCTTGTACTCACTGTGAAAAATAGTCTGGGACCAAGGAAAAGGGCAGCCTGGCTTGGGACTGAGGCCTTTTTCTCTGAAGCAAAAATTAAATGCTTTCCTCCCACCAGCTGCTGAGAAGGGAGAGGGATGAGCCATGCTGCCCACCTCTGGGAGGGGGATGAGCCATGCTGCCCACCTCTGGGAGAGGGATGAGCCATGCTGCTCACCTCTGGGAGGGGGATGAGCCATGCTGCCCACCTCTGGGAGAGGCTGGGGACCCGGCTGTGTGTGACAGGGACTTTGCTGCAGGGCTGGAGGGCACAGCCCAGCAGGCTCTGTGTGGAGGACGTGGTGCTTCTAAAAACTACCAGGGGATGCTTTAGGGGCAGATCTCTCTGCCTAAAGAACGTAGCCCCAAATGTGAGATTGTGAAGACTCCCTCTCCCCATTCTGGCAGGAGCAGGGCTCCAGCAGTGTGCTCATCCCAGGCCCCTTGCAGAGCAGGATACATCCAGAAATGGTGACTACCACAGTCTGAATTTGAACCACACTTGCCCACTGCTGGCTCCAAGGGCAGGTGCAAGGAAGGGGACCTCAGTTTCTGCTCCCTAGTTCTCTTTGTCCAGGAGTGGCTGGTTTGGAAGGAATCAGTGTGCAAATAATTATACACAGCCCAAGGAATTACTTTCTTGCCCAGTTATAAATCCATGGGTGGTTTGATCTGGAGCACTCTGTGTAAGGGCTTTTCTTTCTGTGTTTCCCTTTCTGTAATTTGTCCTCTGACTTGTGACATGACCCTGCCCTGACTGGGGATGTTTTGATTTTTTTTTCAAAGAAATCATTTAGTCCTAGATAAAGATTAATTCCCTTTTTAATTTTTAACTCAAATCTCTCAGGTGAAAATGTTTTTGTAGGGCATCTAGGATGCTGTTATCTTTGCCCAGCTTTGCCTCTTAGATGGGTTGCTTCCCGCAGCAGGTAATGAGTAACCTTTCTGCAGGGGCAGGCTGAGGGCAGAGGGCTGGCTGTGCCTGCAGGGCCGAGCTCATTGCTTCCCTGCTCCCTTCTCTTTGGGAATCATAAAGACATTTTTAGTGTCAGAGTGACATCTTTCTGCCTCTTGCTTTTGGGAATTCTTCCCGTGTGAAGAGATGCCACTCCTGCACCGCATCCCACTCACCTCCTTTCTGCTTGGAGCCCAGAAGACCTCCCAGAAAGGACTGCAGTGAAAGGGCAGGAGCAGAGTCAGCCCCAGGGGAGCTGGGCTCGGGGTACAAGGGCTGCATTCACAGCCCAGCCCTCTGCTGCACTCCTCAGAGCCACATAGGCAGGGCATTGTCCAAGCAAGGACGCAGAGGCCCGTGCCCAGACTGCCGGGCTCCTCTCTCACCACAGATGCTGCTGTTTGTGACACAGGAGGGTTTGGGAGGGACGGATGGGTCCTGGGTGGTGCAGGGTTTGAGAGGGCTGGGTGTGAGCTGTAGCCTGCCTGAGATGGATGGGAAAGTCCAGGTTTGAATGGGCGTTGTGTCCAGTGTGAGTGTCCCGAAGCCTCCTCAAGGCTGATACCATCTCATAGCACAGGATGGAGCAGTACAAAATCCTTGTGAGCTAAAAGGGGTCAAAAAAAGAGATGTCACATGCTCTTTTTCTACCTAGGCAACCGCTGCAACATCAGGATGTGATGTGTGTTTCCAATAATGTCTCTGACAGGTCTCACTCTGTTAGATGCTACCAGAAACCAGTAGGAGCAGCAGATCTTTTACTAAGCCTTCCACATTCATATTGATCCAATAATCCAGCTCTCTAAGACTTGATTTTTGAATCTCTTTTCTTGTAGAGTGAAAGTGGTACCACTTTACACTGGATGGGGAGCAGGAGGAAATGCCCCTTGCTAAAAGACCAACTCCCAAAAGGAGGAGGCATGACACTGAATTACAACTCTGGAGTCTGCAGCACTGAATTAGTTTTTCACCAGCCTCTGGTAGGGAAAAGAACAAGAGGAGGTCAGCAACTCTGCATTTTATTGAGCCTTCTATAACGTAGCCTGCAGGAAGGAATAGAACTGTAAAAGTGCCTTGTAAGGAGTCGCTTTCTCCATGCAGACCATGAAGATCTTCTAGGCTATGGGCCCAGATTCAAAGTGTCAATAAATGGGAATATTGCAGAGATCAGCAACAGAGCTCTGAATCTGGTGCTGGAGGATGAAAAACTGAATATGAGCCATCAATGTGCTCGCTGCCCAGAAGGTCAGTCATCTCCTGGGCTGCACCAAAAGAAGTGTGGCCAGCAGGTCAAGGGAGGTGGGTCACCCCCTCTGCTCTGCTCTGCTCTGCTCTGCTCTGCTCTGCTCTGCTCTGGTGAGACCTCACCTGGAGTACTGCATCTAGCTCTGGGACCCACAGTGAAAGAAAGACCTGGATCTGTTGGAGAAGGTTCAGAGAATGGCTATGGAGATGATCAGAGGGCTGGAGAACCTCTGCTGTGGGGACAGGCTGGGAAAGTTGGGGCTGTTCAGCCTGGAGAAGAGAAAGTTCTGGGGAGACCTTATAGTGGCCTCCCAGTACAGGGGATCCTGAGGAACGATGGGGAGGGACTCTTCATCAGGGAGTGTAGTGATAGGATGAGGGCTAATGGTTTCAAACTAAAAGAGGGTAGACTTAGATTAGATATTAGGAAGAAATTCTGTACTGGGAGGGTGCTGAGACACTGGAACAGGTTGCCCAGGCAAGCTGTGGGTGCTCTGTCACTGGAGTTCAAGGCCATGTTGGATGAGGCTCTGAGGAACTTGGTCTGGAGGGAGGTGTCCCTGCCCATGGCAGGAGGGTGGAACTAGATGATCCTTAAGGTCCCTTCCAACACAAATCATTCAGTGATTCTGTGATTCTACAATCTGCAGAGGCAAAAAATGGGTCCTGATTTTTTTTTTGCATGTGAAGATTGTCCAGTTCTGTTTCCCCTCAGTGGGAGAAACAGTTTCACTGCAAAGACACAAGAACATGAAAGAGGAAGGAAGATGCTGCCCACCAGCTGTCCACCCAGCTTCATGCATGGCCTGGAGCAAGTCTCTTTACCTGCTGGACCTGCCTCACCTTCACTGTCCCATGGGATGAGCAATGCTTGTCTACCCTCAGGGATTATTTTGGGTAAAGAGCCAAAATGCAGAAAGTAAAGAACTGTCTATGTTCAAAGAAGAAATTAGATGAAGAGGGCAGAAGAGAGGGGTGAAGAAGAAATCTTAAGAGAAATTTCATGATCAATGCCTAATAGTACAGCAGATAAGGGACTCCCAGGTGCTGGGAAGTTGTTGCAGGCAGAAGAATCTGAGCTGGGCTTTGGAAACAAAGCAAACCTGCCCCGCTGCACTAGGCAAGGAGCCTGCAAGCCTGCACCTCCACGAGCTGGGCTTGGACTTTGCTGTTTGCAGACATAAATTCCGAGTTTTGGTGGGAGCTGGGGGTGGAGGGGAAGATTATGCAAAGTGCAGCAAACCCCCTGACATCATTTACTCTGAGTAAATATAACGTGAGCGTGCTAGCAGAGGTGTCTCAGTGGCTTTCCAGAAAGGCCAGCTCCACCAAAACATGGCTGCCTTCACACCCCTCGTCCTCTGTGGGGTGTGTGCATTGCTTCTATCAGTTGCACTCTATGTTTTGAAGGTTTTTAAGCAATCAGCTTTAAATTTGCCTCCTGGTCCGTTTCCTCTGCCCATCATTGGCAACTTGCATTTGCTGAACTTCAGAAGGCAAGACAAGTCACTAATGAAGGTAAGAACCAGCATCCTTTGTTTCTAGGGTGTTGAATGTCAGCATGTACCTACTTAAAATTCTCCTCCAGTGACAGTTCTGAGATGATTTTCAGTGCCAAACACATTTTTGAAAGCCTGTGATGTTGTAAAGGTTTCAGAATGACCAAGGACACTGCTCAATCCCAGCTCTGCACAGGGTGATGCTAAATGGAAGCAGTGCTTATGTGAGAACTACTCACACATTGAAAACTGTGAGTAGCCACATCAGATAAGAATGATAGACCTAAATTTTGGCATCTTCCTTGTCTTGCAAAATACTTCAAAATACTTGAGTGTACATGTAACCAGATTGAAAGACAGATGTTTAATTGTGGCCAAAATAGCTTGTGTTTGGTGTTGGTGCTGCCAGCTTTTTGTGAGGATGGGAATTAATATAGCACAGCCTGAAGAACAGAAGTAGGAGAAAAGATTTGAAGCAGTGAATGACTTGGACTTAGGCAAGACAAGGTTCTCTGTAGGAGTTACAGTTACCTCACATCTGTCTTCCAGAAAAAAAAGGGGGAAATTTTAATGTATTTAGCCTCTCAGAGCCAAAATATGGCTCAGCTGGTGTTCCCCATGTCACAACACAAATACCCTGCACCTTACACCAAAGCTTTTAACATCAGGCTGCCAGCAGCCCTCTCACTTGCTTAGCACTATGTAGGGAGGAGGAACTGGCTTTCCCTTGTCTCATTCCCATCACTGTGCCATGTGAGGACATTCAAGGTGCCTGTGGAGATGTATCTTCATCTTAGACCAGTGGGCTCAACAGCCAGAGCTTGGGAAATGGTTTGGACTCTGTTTCCTGCTTCTGGCAAGATCAGAAATCCTTCTGCAGAGGAGGGTAGGACAGAAGGAGGGGGTTTGGGGTGGTGCCTGGGTGTGCTGGGAAGAATAAGCAAAGCAGAGGTGGGACAGGAGGTGACCCGAGGACCCAGGAGCAAGGTGGTAGCATCTTAGTGAAGCACAGACTTGGCACATTGGCCACACTGGTGTCTTCTTTCCCCCATTGAACTGTAACTTCAAGAAGCCAATTGGGAGAAGGTTTACTGGTGAAACTGGGAAAGGAGTCTCTGGTTGCAGCCCAGGGCACCCTCTCACTGTCCTCTGCCCTTTGCAGTCAGGGCACTGCAGTGCTCTGGGCTGCAGCTACAGGTGGAGTGAGATTTTTTTTGTTGTTGGGCTTGTGGCACAGCAAGGATCTGAAAGCTGACTTGGCAGAAGACTTTTAAGGTATTGGCAAACACATGATCTGGAGTAGAAAATCCTTCCTGAAAGGAGAATTCCTAAAGGATTTTCCCCGTGAAAGTTGCATGGTAGACAATGCACCAACTGAAACATTATTTTGAATAAATAATTGAAGTTGGTGTCCTATGAACTATTTTTTTTTTGCATAAATAAATCAAGTCCTGGCTATATTGCTGGAGCACAGATTAGAGTCTACCTGGGCTGTTTGCTTCAGTACAGTGGCAGGGGTTGCTAAGCTTTGAAGCCTCCTCTAGCTTACATTGCCAGAATTGGTCTCCTTTTATGGGACACCAGGCTTGATCTCATGATAGCTTTATGCAGTTTCAACTCCATTGCTCTCAGCCAAGTCTTAGTTCCTTGCAAAGCCTGGCAGGAGCATGCTTGTGAGCCTCCAAATAGCTCCTGCCACCCAGTATCTCAGATCTCACTATAAAGTCCTGCTGTGCAGTGGCTTGAAAACTCTGGTGTAGCAGAAATAAAAAGTAGTGTGGTATTGTGATAATTTTCCAAGGCAAGTTAAAAGAGCTGTGGTTTCTTAAGCCTCCATGTGTCCATCCTTGGTGAATCATATTATATAGCTCTTTGCATTAATAACAACAAAGCTTTTATTTAAGTTTTCATAAAAAGTGAGGACACCTCTGCTCTTTCATCCTCTTGTGCTGGACTCAAGCATTACAGCCTGCCCAGCCAGATCTCAGTGATGCTTTTATGCTGCTGTCGGTGTCCAAAGTGGCTTGTTACCTTCCACCTCTTTAATCCACTGGGCCAAACTGGGTCCAGCCAGCTCAGAAAACCAGTAGTTTTATGGAAGCTGTTGGGTAAACAGACCAGTGTTAATTTGCTTGGATTCCTCTTTCATGTAAGAGTCTCAGAGCTTTATGTTTGGCATCCCTCCATCCCTTCTGACCACAGAAGGAGGGTGGAAGGCAACTCTTCAGCCACGCCAGCAGGACATACCATTCCCACTGAGGACTTCCACGCTCTGATTTTTCTCCTTCTAGATCTCAGAGAAATATGGCCCCGTGTTCACCGTCCATTTGGGTTTCCAGAGGGTGGTGGTGCTCACTGGCTTTTTTTTTTGAACACAGCAGACGTGTTTGTGGACAGACCAGCTATCCCCATCTTCTATCAGATCCAGCATGGAAACGGTACTGCCAGGTTGGAAAGAGGAGGGTGCACTTGCTATGCTGCTTCTCAAATGAATTGTTTCAATTGCAGCAATATTTAAGAGTCTTGATCTGTGTCCTTATCATCAAGGGCTACATTTTGTGGAGCTTGGGGGCAGTGGTTTGTTTTCTTAAGAAAAATACTTCTGAGGATCTTCCTAGCTGCCTTATCAATATATTTTTTTTGTGTTTAGTGGCACTTGGGTCACATTTCAAGGGGTTTTTTTTGCAGTGCAGAGGGAAGGAAATGATTTTTCACAACATGAAGCCTGAGGTCCTTATGCAATCTCTCTTCTGCAGTTACTGGGAGTTCAGACAAAGTGTGGATCACACATGACGCATGTAAAGTCTGCAGGAACTGGCAGGAGTGCAGCAGCACAGGCTGTTTGTACCTCAGACAATTACTTCTGTAAACAGATATCTGGCATGTTTCTGAATTGCATGCTAAAAAGCACTGCGTTGCCCTAGCCTAGACATTGAAAAACAATGAAGGGAATAATCCAGGGCTGAAAGGAAAAGATCTGATGACCTAATATGTATATAATGCATGCAGCATGTGGGGTTTTTTTTCATCTTGATTTTAAGAGTGAGGCCCAGTGTGAGGAAGGAGACACGGTGCTACTCTCCAAACTGCCAAATGAAGATGTAGGCTACATTCAGCACCAGAAGCCCTCCTGGGAAGGGATGAATTGTACCCAGAGACCTCGTCACTCTCTTGACTCAGCACGTTTTTGGGCTGATGGATTAGCCAGCTAGGGGGTACTCCCCTGCTGTAAGCAAAGGTGCCTCCCTGCCTCCCCTCCTTGTCCCCCTGCACGGTGAACAGTTCATCCTCAAAAACACAAGTGTTTGGTGAAATCATTTGTCTGGTTCATGACGGGGATGGAGCAGTGTCATCTGCTCCTAGCTTTGCTCTTGGAAACAGCTGGGTCGTTTTTCTAAGGAAAAACAAGTCAGCCTGAGACAAATCCCATGCGTGGAGCTTTTTACTGTGTATGGCTGCAAAGAGGCAAAGCCAGTCCCAGAGCTTTGGTGTGAACAGTACCTGACTGTTTAAAATATCATCTCCTGCCTTCCTGAACCTCTCTGGGGTGGTGTTTTCCCAAGCCACTGCTCCCCACCATCCCCTTCCCCCCTCCCAGGACCCCGAGTCCTCTCCTAAGTATGCTCTACCAGGTTGCAAAATACCTGTGCTCCGTGGCTGGGTTTTGGTGTTTCTGAGGGAGTCCCATAGCACCTCAGCAAGCAGGGCATGCAATCCCTCCGTAGGTGTGTTCTTTTCTTCTCAAGAGCTCTGGAAGACAACGCGGCGGTTCACCGTGGCCACGATGAGAGACCTTGGCATGGGGAAGCATCTTGGAGAGGAAATGATACTTGAAGAGCTTCATTTTCTCATTGAGTTGATCAAATCCTTCAAAGGTGAGGTGGAGATGGCATGGAGTGCTTCATGCTACTTTACAAAGCCCTTGTGAAGGCCTCTGGGTTGCTCCAGAAATGACCAGTGTAGATATGGTTTTGTTCATTTCTAGGTGGGCCTTTCCGATTACGATACTTGAACACGGCCCCCACCAACATCACCTTTGCTATTCTCTTTGGGAAGAGGTTTGACTATGAAGACCCAACGTTTGTCACTCTGTTAAGACTCATAGATGAAGTTATGCACCTTCTTGGCTCTCCATTCTTGCATGTAAGTGCACCTCTGTGCTGAGATGCTCTAGTATCCCATCAGAGCTGGTAGGTCAAGCTGACTTAGGATTACTGAATGGTTTTGGAGGATCTTTAGGGTACTGAAACATAGGAATCATAGAATGGTTTTGATTGGAAGAGACCTTTAAAGATCATCTAGTCCAACTTCCCTGCCATGGACAGAGATGAGATTCCTTGTTTTGGGTTTTCCTTCCTTTGCCAGATCCTCCTGGGAAGGAGGTCCAACATCACGTGGTAGCATTGGGCTGAGGTGCTGATATCCTCCTGGGAAGGAGGTCCAACATCAGGTGGTAGCATTGGGCTGAGGTGACCTTGCCAGCAGAAGGGATGTGCTTGAATTTTACAGCCAGAAGGTGCAATAACTGAGGCTTCCAGGGTGGTGGGACTTGGGGTGATCAGTGCCCACATTTCTACATCAGTGGAAATCCCCCGAAGTGCTATGGACTCTGTCCTTTATGCTATTCTTTTTAGTCCCATTATTTTGCAAACTTTACAGGTTATGGAGAATTGTAGTCTCCCATGAGGAAACTAATCCTAACGTAGGACTGGAGTCTGGGCAACCTTCTGTCTTCAGTGTTTAACAGTAACTGCAGGAGAACAATCCTGGAGTGTGTCTCACAGAACATTTGTAGCACTTTTGGCAGAGAGTTCAGGACTCCACTTCTTTTTTGTCAGTATTTGTCTAGCAGTATCCAGAATAAAACACAAAATGCCAGCATCTCCTACAGTCTAGTATTTTTGGTCTAAAGAAGGCTCAGATGAAAGAGAGAGGAGGGAGCCAGGTGCCTTTTGGAGGGCATGGCCAGTTTCTTTGTTTAAAAACACACTGGTGATAAAACTACTGAAATAGTGACTTTATTTGTGCATGTACAAAGAAAAATACCCAGGCTTTTCCCAGTTATTTTCTGCTGGATGCTGTGTGAACATCCCAAAGGTGACACCTTGTCTTGTGGATAATTGCATGTGTGTTTGGGGGTTACTAGGGTTTGATCTCTTGCTACTGTTTAAGAAACTAGTGAAGTTACAAAGTAGTAGTACAAGGCAGAGAGCTGCAGACCTTACATACAGACCTCTCATACCTCCTGTCCTGGCACTAAATCAATATCTGCTCAATGGAGCTGCAGAGAAAGAGTATTCCAACTAAAAACCTCTCATGGCAGCCAAGAGCTCTTGTTAAACTTCATCCTCCATCACAAGGAAGAGAGTATTAGTTACTTAAGGTAATACTGAAATGGTCACCAAAAAAGCTGTTAAAAATATGCTGATGAATTTATTAGCTGAATGAGAACTCTTTACAATAGTTGCAGTTTACAACAGCACAATGTCCCTTTTCATCTCTATGGCAGGTTTAGTTTTTGCAGAAAACAGCAAAAATTAGAACCAGTTAGCAAGAGATTTGTGAATCTTAGTCTGCAGCCAGTTTATATATAACATTGAGAAAAGGTGCAAGAAACCCCCCTGCATGTAGACTACAACTGTTTATTGTGCTGTGAAACTTAACAATGCTGAGAACTGAGGGTAATTGATTTATAATTCATGTGAAAGCTAAAAATTATGATCTAACAACTTTCAAACATAAGTATTTTGGCTTGCTAAACATTTGGAGTTTTCTTTGTGTAATGCTTTGTCTCTCTGCTTTATTACCTCTTTAAAAATGTAATTTCATTGTTTCATGAGTTTACTATCACTTTTCCTTAATTGTATTTTTTTTAATTCATGTTTATAGACTCTGTCTAGACAAGTCTGATAGGCTCCATTCATTTCTGTAGAGGCTTTTTAAGAGGAGGAGGCATTTTTAGTTACCAAAAAAGAGAGATTCCAATCACATGTCATTTGGTTCCTCACATAAATGATTTCTCCATTATGATATTTCAGTTGTACAAGGTAATGGATGAATTTCATTTATTTTTTTTTCCTGTGATTCCCCCTTCCCCCCGTTTTTTCCTATTAGTTATTTAATTTCTACCCATTCCTTGGATTTCTTCTCACACCTCACAAGATGATACTGAAAAAAGTAGAAGAGGTGTGTGTGATCTTAAGGAAGTCCATCAAGGAAAGCAAAGAACATAGTAAAGGCAGCACCCTGGCGAGCTACATTGATGCACTGGTATTCAAACAGCAGGTATTTTAACAATGTGACAATTCCTTGTGCAGTGTCTTACACAGAGATGCTCTGTGTTGCTTGTCTAATGAACATGCTCTACTACAGTCCATATGAAAATATTTAGATTTTGGGTAAACATCCTGTCCTGCACCTCTCAGCAATTTTCTAGCCTCTCAGCATCCACAGGCAGGGGATGGAAGTCCCGAGTCAATCAGATAACCACTGCCCAGAGCAGATAAATGTCATGTGATGCTGGAGAATCAATGAATAAATCCAGTTAGTTCATTGAGGGGGGGGGACAAAATCTCATGCATGGAAGTATTTCTGCTGCAAACTGAAGCATTTCTGTAATGGTGTCAGTGTGGTGCCTCTTAGCACTTGTAATTCACATGCACCCCACTATAATGTCTCTAGGTTACCTCTCCTAGTTCTCCCTTGGCCATGCTAACAGTGGTGTTTTGGGCTTTTTTTTTAATTATTATTTCCCTAAAGGAAGAAAATAAAAGCAATGCACTCTTTAATGATGTGAATGTATTGGCCTCTGCACTCGACCTGCTGATGGCTGGCACTGAGACAACATCCACGACCCTGCAGTGGGCCATCCTGCTGATGATGAAGTACCCTGAGATTCAAAGTAAGACACCTTTATGGTTTTGTTTTCCTTGTGTAGGGTAGTGAAGTACTCTGCAGCGACTTCCTAAGTGTTGCTCACCTGCAAAAGCTTCATAGCCTCTCATGCATCCAAAATCAGAGGACCTGGAACCTGCCCACCTCTGTCCAAGCACTGTATGCTGCCATTCAGCATGAAAGGAACCAGGAGTTTGTTCTATCTCTGCTCCCAAGGGCTGGGCAACCTCCTGTTCTTGGGTAGTCCAACCAACAGCCAGCACAGGCTGAGATTTGGAGGTGATTTACCCCTCAGAGAAACTCACTTTGTGCCTTTCCTTTGCTCCACAGAAAAGGTGCACACAGAGATTGAGCGAGTTCTTGGCCCTGGCTGCTTGCCTACCTTTGAGGACAGGAAAAGAATGCCATTCACCAACGCAGTGATCCATGAGGTGCAGAGATTTGTCACCCTCCTGCCACATGTTCCACGGTGCACCTCTGTTGACACCCACTTTAAAGGCTACTTCATCCCCAAGGTACTTTCTGCTCTCCAGATAAAGAGGGGATGTAGCACATCAATGACTCACAGGGCAAAATGGCACAGGGAGTGGGGAAGCTTGAAGCACAGGGTTCTCAGTGGGGAAAAGCCAGGTCCCTAGTCCCCCATCCCCTCCACACCCAGACTGATGGCAGCATGACTTCAGGGTTACCTACAAAGCTTCTCAATCTTTGTGATCACAGGATCATAGAATGGTTTGGGTTGGAAGGATCATCTATTAAAGATCATCTGTTTCCAACCCCCCTGCCATGGGCAGGGACACCTCCTGCTAGACCAAGTTCCTCAGAGCCTTATCCAACATGGCCTTGAACTCCTCCATGGATGGGGCATCCACAGCTTGCCTGGGCAACCTGTGCCAGTGTCTCAGCACCCTCCCAGCACAGAATTTCTTCTTGATATCTAATCTAAGTCTACCCTCTTTTAGTTTGAAACCATTAGCCCTCAACCTATCACTACACTCCCTGGTGAAGAGTCCCTCCCCATCGTTCCTTAGGATCCCCTGTAAGTACTGGGAGGTCTCTTCATTCCCCTCACTCCCTGCAGAGCACTCCTGCCTCTGCAGTACCACGGCATTGTTTCACTGCCTGCTTGAGGCAAGCAGAGAGCAGCTGGCCAGGAAGGAAGCCTGCCCCCCATCTTTGTCCTGCTTCAGAACTCAAGAACAGCCAACAACCATGGTTGTTAATCATGTGTTAGTCAGTAATTCCAGTGAACTGGCTGTCCACTCTAAGGCTCATTTGCTCATATGCAAGCCCAGAAGTTAGTTCTTCAGAGACAGAACTTTGCTTGCAGAGCCCAAGGAAGGAACAGTTACGTGGCTGAATGGGCAAAGCCAGAATTTTGCTACATCCACACATGCTAAAGCAGAGCATGGTTGTGCTGCAGGGAACAACAGTGATTCCTCTGCTGACCTCCGTGCTGCTGGACAAAACACAATGGGAGACACCAGATGAGTTCAACCCCAACCATTTCCTTGATGCAGATGGGAACTTCATAAAGAAGAAAGCATGCCTGCCCTTCTCCACAGGTAACAAAAGCGTTTCATAGCATCAGTGAGGTTGGAAAAGACCTTTAAGATCATTGAGTCCAACCATTAACCCAGCACTGCCAGGACACCACTAAACCCTGTCCCTCAGCACCATCTAGCATCAGCAGTTTGATCCTGCATGGGGCACCGAGTTCCCAATGCCCCTCAGAATCTGAGCCTCTGTTGGGAATAGCACAGACATCACTGGGGGGATGGTTTAGAAATTCCCTCTCTGGCTTTTTTAAAAGACTTGCAAGCAGCCCCTCAGCCCACACGGGGAGGCACAATGGGTTGTGGTGTTTAAAGATGCCACTGGGACCTACAGGAGACTCAATGCCTTCAAGCAAGAGTTCCACTTTTCCTCTGCTTTGGGCAGGCTGGTTTCTCAGGTCACTTCCTTGGAGGCTCAGAGTGAAACAGCCCTGTTAGAATGCCTGTAGGAAACCAACAGTCAAGGCTGCTGAATATCACACAATGCTGTTTTGCATTGCTGGGGCCTTAACTGTCCCTCACACTATTGCTACCAAGTAGTAGGAAAGAGGTGTTGGGTTGAGGCACCCCTTACCCAGTCACTCCACCCACAGCCCTGCTTTTGGCATTGCAGGGCGGAGAAACTGCATCGGAGAAAGTCTCGCCACCGTGGAGCTCTTCATCTTCTTCACAGGCCTGATCCAGAAATTTACTTTTAAGCCTCCACCTGAGGTCAAAGAATCTGAGCTGGACACGACTGCAGAGGCTGGATTCACCATGAGACCCCACCCACAGTGTGCCTGTGCTGTGCTACGCCAATGAGCCCAAGGCTCTGAACTGAGAAAAATCCCCAGTTGTTTTGGACAGTCGAGCAGATGCACAAAGCAGAAAGCAGATCCCTGGGCAGTAGATCCAAATAGTGTCTTCTTACTCAAAGCCTTGCAAATGCTGGCTTAATATATGCCTTAATATATGCTTAAAATATCTGTTCAACAAATATTTTTCTAAGAAGCAGAGGAGGGCTGGTGGGTAAAGCTACCTGGAAAATTCCAGCCAGATCCGTGGCTGGAAGTGACAGGACAGCCACTACTTCAAATACACAGCATAACAAGGTTATTCTAGTTCTGAGTGTCTGGGAGAGGATGCTTCTCAAGAGTGGACCATTTTTTTACTCGTAGAACAATATTAGATACAAATGTTGGTCATCATCTAATCCCTGATCTTTCCCCATTCCCTACTGCACATGAGACAAATACGTCCAAGATATCTGCTCTTTCCATGTTTGATGGATGTTCTTCCAGCATTTTCCAGACTTCTGGCTTTGAATCCCAGATACCAAATGCTGAACTTTCTAGGTTCCTCTTGCTCTGAAGGATTTTAGCACAGTTCCTGCGGCGTTTTATGCTCTTTCTGGGTACAGGCTCTGCTATGCCTGTGCTGATGTGGTGCTTAACAGACAAATGAAAACACTTCCCTCCTACATTTTTACAAAGGTAGCTCAGATATAGAAGTACAGCTTCTCCTTGGAGCACCACCTGTGAACAAGCAAGCATGCAAACATTGCTGAGATGCTTCTAAAACGCTCTTTCCTTAAGCAGCACAGAAGCTGGGCAGGTCTGGGCTGGGTGGCAGAAAACCTCTCCACCTCCCCTTTCCTTACTTTGCCCAGCACTCTGAGATTTATCAGGCCCTTATCTTTTCCCAAAATCCCCATCTTTCCTTCTCCTCCAAGACGGAGCCTCACCACATCCCCTCACCAGTGAAGGCTCCAGGACTCTTACAGGAGCTGGTTTCTTGCTTGCTCTGAAGTGCTGAGTGAAGGAGCTGCCGGGGCTGCAGTGGGAGGTGGGCTGAGCCATTGTCCCACGGAGGGTTTGAGCTGGTTTACCCCTGGAGGGGACCCTCAGGGCTGTGGGATGGGGAGGAAAAGGCTTCTCCTGTTCCCTGCCTAAGGGCGGATGCTGAGGGGCAGCTCCATGCCCTCGCTGCCAGCCGGGCTGGGGGGTGGGCACAGCCCCTGCCCAGCCCTGCCCTGTGCCCCAGCCCGCACTGGGGCTGGCAGGGCGCCCCCCGGGCTGGGCTGCAGGCATCCCAGGGATCGCGGTGCCACCTCGTGGCAAGGAGGGAGCAGTGTGGGACTCTGACTTGCCTTTGTTCACATCTTGAAGAGCGAAGCCGCTTCCCCTGCCCCAAGATGTTCGCCTTCAGGGCAGTGTGTTGCAAGGCACAAACGTGTTTTGCAGATAGAGGGAAGACCCTCAGGGCCACTGGGAATGTGGAAATAGGATTTACACTCCTGAGAGCCAATGTTTTCTGTTAGATAAACACGTGGATGAGTCATCATCAATGTTCTGCCTTTGTTGGGCTCAGCAAATAAATGGGAGGCTGGCACTTTCTTGCAGAGATCTGTTTGGCTGTCTAATGCAGTGTGTGCAGGGGACTGACCACTTCTGTCCACCTGCTAACTCAGGCACACTTTTCAAAGGGGCCAAAGAAATGTGTTTTCCTTGGATGTTTGGACCTGGCAGCTCGTGGCTCTTGCTGAGGCAGGGGTACTGCACAGTCTGGTGAACCTCTGCACCTCTGCCTGCCAGAGTGCCAGCACAGGAGGTGATGGCCAAAGCCAGCAGGCTCTGAAGGCTGCTGTGCCACATGGGAAGGGACCCATCTCTCTCCCTTGAGGCCAGGAACCCAAGATCCCATGGCAAGGGATCAGATCTGAGGTTCCACAGTGACTTCATTCAGATTTGAACCCAGCCCAGTTGTGTCACCTGGAGCACTAGATTGTTGCCATATCTGTCTTTTGAGTTCATATTATTTTTAGAGAAGACTAGAGCAGGAACAGTTCTGGCTTCTCTGAAGCTAAAAGCAAAAATATATTTTTATTTTAGCAAGGCCAAAACTTCCTTCATTGAGTTGACATGTGGCTTGCTCCTCAGTTGCTTCACTTGTCTCTTCCTGCCTTCCCCCATCCTGCTGCTAGTCCTCCAGAGTGACACTGCCAGCAAGTGATGCTGTGGGAAGGCAAGCAGGGAGAGGCTCAGGGTCCACAGTTCTAAACAGAGGGACAGCACCAGCATCAGTGAAGCTTTGGTGGCAACCTTTCATTCAGCCTCTGCAACCAGGAGTTGAAGACATTGAAGTGGAAAACTAAGGCTATCCCCAGGACTGACTAGTAGCCCATAGCTGAGCACTCAGGGAAAGCTCCTACTGATGGAGAATCCACTCTGCAGATATGGAGGGTCTCCTGTTGAGGTGGTTTTTACTAGGACGAAGGCATGCAGAACCTCTCACTTGTGAGATACGAGTAAAACTCTAATATTTGTTGTCACTCTGGGCTCAGGATCAACCTTCCAATGGCATTTGCATTTCTGTGTAATGCAAAGTTGGGAAGAAGGTGTGTGAAATGTAATGAAGATATGGGGTTAAAACTTTATTTGGTTCGCATGAAGAGGGGCACAAACAATATGATAAAGCACGTGATGGGAGAATATAGAGAAGTGGCAATTCACAGACAGAGAAATGGATAGAAAATTGCCTGAGCTGTACATCAACTGGAATAAGGCTGAGGAATATGACTGCAGACCAAGGAGACAGGGAAAACAGCCATAAGACACGGAGGAAAGGAAAACATCCAAAACCATGTCTCACCTAATCCCTGATCACAGTTCTCCTTGCATGTGTCTGTGCAATCCAAGCCCTGTGAAACCAAACTCCATTTGCAGGGAGGTTGCATGGCTGGTTCCAATGGCCAGACCACCCCAAACACCAGACTGACTGCTGCTGTTGGGTTTTAATGTTACCCAGGAGGTCCGAAGAGAGGAACAGTGAGTGCTCCTATTTAACAAGGTCAGGAAAGACAGAGATGCATGAAACTAGAAACAGGTCTAGTTTATTTTTCTGCATCATTAGCTTTTTATGATCCATTGCAGGTACAAATTCTCACATGGCTTTCTGATTTAGACTGCAAACTTAGAACTGTAGATCTTCTTTCATTCAGACTGTGAAGCAGCGTGTGACTTGGTGGTAATGGCACTTGTTTGTCTAAATGGATTTGCAGACTCTGAGGCATCTCTCAGGATGCTGTTTCAAGGCAGAAATAACTTTGTCCTCAAATCACAGGAATCGATCTGTTTTTTCACTCTCAGTGTTTGACTTGGCTGCCTAGCCTGGTAGGATTTTGCTAGAAGCTATGGATAATTAGGGAGCTTGGATAAATTTAGAAAGTACCTATGGATGGTTCAAGTCTGTGACACACAGTGTTATTTCTGTGCCTTTTAGCAAATGGTGGTGTGTCTTTCCTCAGGATTTTGGATAGATTTCAGTGACATGAACCTCGTTGCTTTGCCATAGAAGCCTGGGTGTCACACCTACTACTCATAGGCTGCATCCTCTTCACCACATCATCTCCTTGGTCTCTCTCCTTGCCCTGTGCAGTCTGTCTGAGAAGTGTGTTTGTCAACCACCATCATGGTTTCTAACTGATGATGTGCACCTCCTCACAGCACAGGAGCAAAGGGGGGTCAGCAACCTATGGGGCAGATGTAGCACTGGAAGGGGAGTGGATGGAGACAGTGGGAAGGGGATGTGAATGAGGATGATGTGACAGGATGGAGGGATGATGAGTCCTAGCATAGCTAAGTTGGCTCTAAGCAGCTTCCCCACTCGTTGGGTCTCTCTTCAGCAAGGCTGTGGTTATTCTCTCAGCACAGCACAGGTTGCCTGAGGCTGAGGCCTTAATGTGAAAGTCGTCTGGGGGACAGTAAGGTCCAAGTCAGACTCAGAAACTCCTGGCTGGGGTTGAAAAGTAAACGTCTGCAGCAGCCCTACAAAGAAGACGAACAGCTCCATCTTGGCGAGGCTTTCTCCAATGCAGTTCCTTCGCCCTGCAGAGGAAAGCAGTGTGTTTACTTGGTGGAAAGATCAAACTACAACATTTGTTGTGGACATGGTGGCACCTGAGATGTTGTAATGGAATGAGGAGTGAAACCTTGAAACCCTCCAGAGCATTTCAGAGCAGAGGAGCTCGTGTTGCTCCAGGCAGCTGTCCGAGTCACACTGGCACTGTGTGCCTGCCTGGTCTCTTTTGTCACCCAGCTGCCTGAAGCAGCAAGTCACAGCCATGCTACAGGGTTATGCATTCATGATGTACCCTCTCCTTAGCTCTTCCAACCTTCTCAGCATCTTTAACCCTTTCTCTTAGAAAAGCAGCCTGACAGAAAGATGTCACCTCCTCCCAAAGCAGAATGGTTTGAAACTCACTTCTCTTGTGGAATACATCCTAACATCCCACTTTTATAAAAGACTATGGTTCTTCTTTCCTACCCTCTCTTTGTGCTGCATTCTCAGCCCTTGAATGCTGATCCCTTTATGGGTGAAGCACTTGCTGGACAGCAAGGACTGGCTTCCTAATGTCAGAAGGCACTGCTGAGGGTCTGTGGCTGGAGCACGTTCTGGAATCCCTTCAAGCCATCCTTTCAGAGGAGCAGCTGGGAAGTGTCAGGTTACTCAGGAGGATTTGTTGGATTCTGCAGGAAATCTCCCTTTATGGTAGTTATGGGCTCCTACAGTGTTGGGGTTTGCTAAACCCCCATCCAGATGACTCCACCCAGCTGTGTCCTCGTGTAATACGTGCTGCTGCAGCCACGGAGGGCATCGGCTGGGTGGCAGGTGCTTCTGGAAACCAGCAACCTCTGGAAGCAGTTGTGGCTTTGGGAAGGCACTGTCTAAGTGATATTTCTTTTAGGATATCTCAGGGCAGAGTTTCTGATACCTAACAACAGTTCCTACCATTAGCTCGGTTGGAGTCCCAAGGAGCTTGG